CACTGAAGATATCAGTAAGATGAACGAATGATGTATTTTTATGCGTGTGGACAGCAATAAAATACAAACAATTTAATGTGTTATTGAATATTTATCATTGTTGAAGTGGAGCGATGGATACATGGAATTGATTGCACCATTCTATACTTTTGTATGTATTTGGAATTTCTATTTTTTTAAAGATTTTATTTTTTATTATGTATTTGTCAGAGAGAGGAAGAGAGAGCACATCGGGGAGCGGCAGGCAGAGAAGCAGGCTCCCTGCTAAGCAAGGAGCCCAATGTGGGACTTGATTCCAGGACCCTGGGATCATGACCTGAGGCGAAAGCAGATGCTTAACCAGCTGAGCCACCCAGGCATCCCTGTATTTGAAATTTTCTATAAGAAAAAGTTTTAAAAGAGCATTACTGAATTAATAGATTTTAAATGTTTTCTCAACCAATGAATACAAAAAGTATCACGGTGGAGACCTGAGAAAAGTTTTTACCTTAGAAAGAGATTTTTGGGGTGCCTGGGTGGCTCAGTTAGTTGAGCAACTGGCTCATGTTTTTGGCTCAGGTTGTGATCCGGGCTTCTGGGATGGAAACTGGAATTGGCTCCATGATCAGCGCTGAGTCTGCTTGTCCCTCTCCCTCCCCCTCTGCTCCTCCTCCCCTCAAATAAATAAATAAAATCTTTTTAAAAAAACAAAAAAGAAAGAGATTTTCATACTCAGAATAGTTTGGAAAAACTGCTACACAGTATGGTCTCTAATGTGGGCTGTGTGTACTGTATGAGCTGGCAACATGATCCATTAGCACTAGTGTTTATATCAATTTTTAATCTTAAAATGAGAAAGAAATTATTTTATTAATATCTAACATAAAGATCGACTCTGGTGTCATCACTCAGTTTATTTGTCAAGAAATGATGCCTTTTTAAAGTGCTTTTCAGGGACGCCTGGGTGGCTCAGATGGTTAAGCGTCTGCCTTCGGCTCAGGTCATGATCCCAGGGTCCTGGGATCCAGTCGCGCATCGGGCTCCCTGCTCAGCAAGGAGCCTGCTTCTCCCTCTGCCTGCAACTCCCCCTGCTTGTACTCTCGCTTATTCTCTCTCACCCATGCTCTCTCTCTCTAGCAAATAAATAAATAGAAAAATAAAATCTTTAACAAATAAAAATAAAAAACAAAGTGCTTTTCAAAGAAATATGCCATGAAGGGAGCATTTTGAAAATAAATATTTGAAAGTGTTTTCATCATCTTGTGATTTTGATGCTGAGAACTGTATGTGACACCAATTTACCTAGTTGTAAGGAAAAAAAAATGTAATGGGGCATCTAAAATTGGCCTAAAACATTCTACTCCAATAGCTTGAGCTCATTTGTAAAAATATTTTAACAGGCAAGAGCCACTGATTGATGTCAGGGAGATTGGAAATTTAATACCCAAATTTTAACAAAAACCTCTGCCTAACTGCAGAGCGAGACCGAAAAGTTAGCTTACTAACTAGTGCTTTACTGAGAAGAGCTGATGTCATATTGCAGCCAGTTAGATCTATGAATCTTTGTGAGGTATCGTTTTCAGCGATGACATCCATTGGAGACAAGCATTAGTTTAAAATGAACTCAGTAGGGGCGCCTGGGTGGCTCAGTCATTGAGCATCTGCCTTCGGCTCAGGTCATGATCCCAGAGTCCTGGGATCGAGCCCCTCATCGGGCTCCCTGCTCTGCGGGAGGCCTGCTTCTCCTTCTCCCACTCCCCCTGCTTGTGTTCCCTCTCTCGCTGTGTCTCTCTCTGTCAAATAAATAAATAAAATCTTTAAAAAATAAATACATAAATAAAATGAACTCAGTATTCCAAAATGTTAAACCATCATTTCAAAATTAATGAGGCATAGTCTGTCACATTGTTCTCACTAAAATATTTATCACAATATGTTTCAAGTAAGAGATAAATTTATATATAATCAGTAAAAGAACATTTGTTTTAAAATATTATTCATATTTATCCCAGCTCATATTTTTAAATGTTCTGTTCTGCATGCTTTATACTGCATATATTATGAATGTAACAATTTTTAAACATAAGTGTATTATACATTTTAATGCATTTTTATGTAATTACATACAAAGCATCTCAAAAATTTTTAAAAGATTTTATTTATTTATTTGAGAGAGAGACAGATCGAGAGAGAGCATGAGCGGGGGCAGGGAGAGGGAGAAGCAGGCTCCCCGCCAAGCAGAGAGCCTGATGCAGGACTCGATCCCAGGACCCTGGGATCATAACCTGAGCCAAAGGCCGACGCTTAACCCACTGAGCCACCCAGACACTCCCAAACCATCTCAAATTTTAATGTGTACACACATCCTCCTGGTATCTTATTAGAGTGCAGTGTCTGATTCAGTAGTTCTAGGGCAGGGCCTGGGATTATTCATTTCTAACGAGCTCCCAGGTGATCGTGATGTCCCTTGTCCTCAGACCACATTTTGAGAAGCAAGGTCATGGGGCGGGGTGGGGAGAAGCGTGGGTTCCAACATGTTTTACTAAAGGTTTGCCCAATCAAGGATGTTTGGAGATGACTAGGGAATGAATAGCCTACACTCCCTTCAGGTTATCCTCTGGAACCCCTGCTTCTCTCAGTGGAGTTTCTGGTATGGACTGAGCTACAATAACTGAGCTTCTCCTCCCTGACAAACACCTGGATGCAGCTCATCTCTGCAGCTTTAGCAGTCAGCTGAGGTGGGATACAATTGACATCCTCAAATTCAAACCGATGTGACCAATAATAGCACATGCTCCAGCCTGGAGCTGAGGGATGATGGCTGCCTCAGCCTCAGAGGACTGATAGAAGGATTCAGTGAGATAAGATGTCTAAGGTACTATACTTTGTGGAGAGCTCAATAAAGTGTCACTATTACTGTTGGAGGTATGGCTGCTTGTAGGCTGGGCCAAGATTTTTTCAGTTATTCTAGGTCTTTACCACTGAGGCAAATAAGCCGTCAAACCCCCAAATTAAAAAAATAATAATTTAATTTAATTTAATTTTTAAAAATTAAAAAAATTAGCATTTTATTTTTTAAAAATATTTTATTTATTTATTTGACAGAGAGAGAGACAGTGAGAGAGGGAACACAAGCAGGGGGAGCGGGAGAGGGAGAAGCAGGCTTCCCGCAGAGCAGGGAGCCTGATGTGGGGCTCGATCCCAGAACTCTGGGATCATGACCTGAGCCGAAGGCAGACGTTTAACTGACTGAGCCACCCAGGCACCCCAAAAATATTTTAAAAATTTAACCTGGTAGTATTTTAAAGTGGCTGTAACAACCTCAACTACTAAAAACAAACAACGGCAACACACACACACACACACACACACAGTAAACACCTGGCTTTGAGAAATGTAATTTTCTTGTGTGTCTCCATCTAGATACACTAGTTGCAGAATATATCCTGGGGTACTTGCTCTCTGGAATTATTTACACCAACCACCAACAAGAAGTTGGAAACATGTACTGAAAATGGTAAATCTGATTTTAGGAAAATGGGTATGGAAGCTTTCTTTCCAGCAATCATTAGCTGAGCCATTTATTTACTAAAACCACTCCTAGCTTGTGATAATATCATCTGCATATAGGAGAATGCTGATGTTTCCATTCCCATTTCTTTTTTGTTAACGAGGGCTGACTTAAGATTTTAAATCAAATGAGATTTTGGCAAATTCATTTCTGGTACAGTTGAGGTCATGGAAGGGATTTCCATGCAAGAGCCGTATTTCCCTTCTTTTTTTTTTAAGCCACTCTACATGTGATCTCAAGTCATCAAATAGAATTAGAGCCCGGGGCGCCTGGGTGGCTCAGTTGGTTAAGCGACTGCCTTCGGCTCAGGTCATGATCCTGGAGTCCCTGGATCGAGTCCCTGGATCGAGTCCCGCATCGGGCTCCCTGCTCGGCAGGGAGTCTGCTTCTCCCTCTGACCCTCCCCCCTCTCATGTACTTGCTCTCTCTCATTCTCTCTCTCTCAAATAAATAAATAAAATCTTTAAAAAAAAATAGAATTAGAGCCCATCTACAAATTTTCAAATATCAGCTGGTCTGTTTGGTTTTAATATTGTAACCCTCAGAATCCAGCTTTGTGGTTTTCCCTTTTCATGTTTGAAAGGTGTACCTCTGAAACAAATAATACATTTTATGTTAAAAAAAAAAAAAGAAGAAGAAGAAGAAGATAGCAGGAAGGGAAGAATGAAGGGGGGGAAATCGGAGGGGGAGATGAACCATGAGAGACGATGGACTCTGAGAAACAAACTGAGGGTTCTAGAGGGGAGGGGGTAGGGGGATGGGTGAGCCTGGCGATGGGTATTAAAGAGGGCACATACTGCATGGAGCACTGGGTGTTATACGCAAACAATGAATCATGGAACACTACATCAAAAACTAATGATGTAATGTATGGTGATTAACATAACATAATAAAATAAAATTTAAAAAATCAATTTAAACAACAAAAAAAAGAAAGGTAGAGTTTCACATAACACATGGAGTATCCATGAAGCTAGTTCTTGGGATCCCTGAGCTGGCTTACCGTCCATGTTAGTGAGGAAAATGAACTCAAGGCCATTTAACATTTTTCAACCCTAAATATCGTAGCACATCAGCCGTCTTTCTTTAGATACAGACTTGCCTGCCTACACCTTCTTTTACTTGGCCCTTTGTTTCTAAGGGGACTGTACAAGTCTTTCCCTGATTCTATCTTTTCCACCTTTTCTGTCAAAGGATGGTAGTCTCATCCTTTACCACAAACCCTCTCTAACCCTTTTGTCTTTAAGCTACGTTCTATGTGGACAAAGACTACCCGTTTTATTCACTGCTGTATTACCAGCACCTAGCATAATACTTGGCACAGAGGATTTGTTAAATAGATGTTTGTTGAAGGTTTGAATAAAATGTTAATGTTGTATTTCTTTTGATTATGTCATAATCTGGAAAATACTCAGGTCTTTATCTTATTTTTCTTTCCTTTGGAATGAAGTAGATCGATTCAAGGAGTACCAGAGCAGGAACTTGGAGACACCAAACTTTGGAGGACAACAACAATTATGAAGAGCATGGTTGCTTGTTTCAAAGTGAACAAGGAAAATTTTCCCAGCTTATAGATATTGACTTGATTCCTCACCTGCTTATTGATGTAGGAAAAGGCCAAGTATTAATTAGTATTAATGTTTCAATGTAATAATGAATATTTCTTACATTTGTCACTGAACTTTGATCAAGCTAACTGTTAATGTCAAAATAGACACATTATCTGTGCTCGTGGTAAGGAAATCCAGAAAGAAGTGCCTTGTACCTTGTACTGCTCTTCCATGGCTTCTCAGACTTAGCCTGGATGAAAAGGAAAAGCCATGCTGAATAGCCCGTGTGTATATAAATCCAGATCCATGTGCCCTCTGACTCCCCAGATGACTGAGTGGGTGGAAGCATGCACATGCATTGTGACAGGGTGTGCATAAATACTGTCACATGTAAGGTCAGAAGCAGGGTGACACAGAGAGAGCCAGTCACAAGTTGTTAGGACTCTAAATTGAAGTTTTGTTTTTACCAGGGCCCTAGAAGACCAGAGCCACGTGAAGTCATGGCCCTTAACCACCACCTCTCCCACGTACGGAGAGGAGAATTCAGATGCCCATTGCAGTCAGCTGGTCAGACTGCTTCTTGCATACTCCCTGCCTCCACTCCGCTTCACCCTGGAAGACCTCTCTTCTGTGTGCTGAATGAGATCCTTGATGTAAGATCATATCTTTATCACCTTTCTACCCACACGACCCCCAAACATGAAATTCCCAGGGTTGGGAAGTCTGGGTGGCTCAGTCGGTTAAGTGTCTGCCTTCGGCTCAGGTCATGATCCCAGGGTCCTGGGATCGAGTCCCACATCAGGCTCTTCGCTCAACGGGAAGCCTGATTCTCCTCTGCCTCCCGTTCCCCCTGCTTGTGCGCTCTCTCTCTGACAAATAAATAAATAAAATCTTAAAAAAGAAAAGAAAAGAAAAGAAATTCCCAGTGTTTAGCACAATGCTTAGTAGATGTTCAATAAATGTTTGTAGACTGAATTAATGAATGAACAAATGTTGCTCTGGCCGAAGCTGCAGCATCCACACCCTGCATAACTGCACTCGGTACTGACCCTGATGATAGAAAAAGCAATACAACTGACGCTGTAAGAAAATGTTTCTTGTTTATACTGCTGCATCTTGATCTTTGGCTGATCTAAGCACAAAGAGAGCTCTTTCAGTTGAGAGAAAGGAGGTTTATGGTGTGTGGGAGAGCTAAGAACAATGGGCTCAATTGATAGACTGGAGATGCTCTCAGCTTCTGAGAGCCTGGAAACTCCATCTATAGATCAGTCCCAGAGGGCAGAGCCAAATAAGGGCAGATGGAGAACACGGCTTTCTTGGGAACTGGTTTTCTGCTGTTCTGAGGCAAAAATACATTCACTCTATAGCACCCTGAATCAATTCTCCAAAATATGGTGCTGTGTCCTTGTTTGCCAGTGTCTAAAAATAAGTCCTTGTCATATTTTTATGCTTTTTGTCTTAACGTCATCCAACCAGACTTGCTTGCAGAATATTAATTGTGGTGAAGCAGAAATCAGGAGATTACACTGAAACTACTTTTCAGTGGAGCTCCTTAACTGACGACTGACCTGTTGCCCCCAGCTAAAGTCTCCTTTCTCGGCAATTGTGCTCCTTGCCAGCAGCAACTATGGGACAATGAATCTACTCCTAATTTTAAGTCAGCTTTCTTTGGGCAGGTCATTAGAGTGCTGTCCAAGAGTGTCACATTCTAGCCTAGGGTTGTAAAAGGGATTAAACACTGTGTCCCAAGTGGGCTAGTGGGCGGGCCATCCAAGGTAATAGGTGTCACTAATTTACTTTAATAGTGCCCTGCCACCAGCTGTTTAAATTTACATTGTCGGGGCGCCTGGGTGGCTCAGTTGGTTAAGCGACTGCCTTCGGCTCAGATCATGATCCTGGAGTCCCGGGATCGAGTCCCGCATCGGGCTCCCTGCTCAGCGGGGAGTCTGCTTCTCCCTCTGACCCTCCCCCTCTCAAGCTCTCTCTCTCTCTCATTCTCTTTCTCAAATAAATAAATAAAATCTTTAAAAAATAAAAATAAATAAAAATAAAATAAATAAATAAATAAAAATAAATAAATTTACATTGTCTTTACCATATCTACTCTGCCCCTACCTTAAACCTTTCATCCAGTACTTTTCAGATAAAACTAAGCATTATTCATGTATGAAGCACTGAGGGCTCATTATTGGAATATCCAAATGATTGAAAGAGAACGTAGCAATAACTTAATCCTCAATACACCAGGGCTGGGGCACCATTATATTAAAGAAGTAACTGTATTTGAGTCTGAATGAGCAGAACGCTCTGAAACCCAGCTTCTAAGAGAAAAGAAACCTTAAAACAGGCATGTCCAGGTATATAGGCTTTCGCTGTATATACTTGACTAGAAGTTCTCAGGTATTAAGACCTGAGTTCTACAAAAACAAAAACAAAAATAAACAACAACAAAAACCCCCACCTGTGTTCTAGTCAAGCTCAGGTGTGTACTTATTGGGTTTCTTTGCGTAATTTACTTTGACTGTTTCTTAGTGTCCCAGGCTATAAAAAAAGAAGTGATTTATCTATTTTTTATGTCAGAAAATTGTTGTGAGAATGACTTGGGTGACCTGAAAAATAAATAAGCTCCTTGAACAAAGCACAATAAAGGTCTAATTATTCGAGTTTCTATTGCGGGGTTACACAAAACAATTCACTCAAAGGACACAATGTTTGATTGAGAACATTCTTAATTTTATTTTTCTTTAATTTTATAAAATTCATTTTGTAAGATAAGTTCCTAAAAGTTTATCCTTTATGTGTGTTAAAATTGAAATTCTGTATCAGAAATGAAGGAAACACTTTCAGTTAACTCTCTTTGTGTGTGTATATGTGTGTATGTATGCGTGGGAGGTTTTCAGGGAAGGGTTGGTTATTTGTTATGTTATTAAATCAAAACAAAACACAAGATATGGATTACTTCACTTTCCTTGATCTTGATTGGTTTCTTACAGAACCTTTTCCATCTCCTCCCTCTATGCAGCCTGGAAGCTTATCTTGTATACTGGTCTGAAAACAAATATTAAGTATCTTTTTGCAAACATCTTACTTCTCCTTAACATTGCTGAACCAACTTTGGGGGGAAAAAAACAACTCTTTACAACAAAAGAGCCACCTACAGTCATATCTGTAAGATCTCTTTCCATAAAGACCAATCAGCCTTTTCTTTTTTAACCCAAAGTTAACAAACACAGAAAGAGAAGCCTGAAACCTGGGAGTTATTCAGGTTTCCAACTCTTTCCACCTTTCTGTTTCCATGGAAGCTTACCAACTGAATAGCTGATGGCTGGGGCATTCTATTAAGTGATCCATACTAGGAGAGAATAACCTATATGTTAAACCTGACTCTTTAACACATTGAGTTAGCACTGCTAAATCAAATCATCCCCCATTAGCTTAAAAAGAACAATCAAATAGGTTATTCAAATTGAGGTTCAAATTCACCAAATCCGTTTCTGCAAAGAGCAGAATAATTTGGAGAAAATCTAGTGGATGTATGGAACTAGCCAATTTTAAATATTATTTGCAATGTTTAACGTTCAATGTCCATTTGCTAAGGAATCATTATCAAAGAATCATTCTCTAGACCTTTCTGGTACAACCCCAAACAAGTGATAAACAAACTGGTAAATGTGAAATACGCATCATTCGGAAACAAATCAAGATCTTCAAATCATCTTCTATGACCAAATGGATAATACCCCATGAAAAGAGCACCATTGTGAAGATACGACAGAGGCCAGAGTATACAACTAATTAACAGAAAAAAGACACGCTATCCAAAGAGTTATCTATCCTGTGTCTACCAGAGGGCTGGCTCAGTTTACACTGTTAGCCACTAACAACTGCTGCTCCTTAGGCCAGTCTTTTTTTTTTTTTTTTTTTTTTTTTTTAATGAGCTAGTTTCTTTCTGTTCTCAGCTCCTTGGAAACCACAGGGTTGTCATGGTAGCTGTTATCAAGGAAAAGGGAGTGAGAAGATGCTGACAATACCCTGCTTCTTTTCTCTAATAAGGTGTAAAGCCAGGTGCCCACTTGGTCTACACAGACACTACGCTCCCTTATGCTGTAAGTAAGATCGGCTGAGTTAGGGCTTAAATAGTCCATCGCCATCAGGGTCAGTGCTCTCTTTCTATGGGTGAAAGATCCTTGCTTTGACCCCCTTCTCCCAGCTGCAATAGGTAGATTTGGGCAAATGCTTTTATTGTTTTGTTGGCATTCTTTTTTTTCTTCTATCTTCCGTGGTAAGAGGGAGACAGGAGTGGGTTCTCTGTTTTGTACATCAAGGAGAATATATTTGGCCCCAATAGATGTCAAGGGGACCAGGTACATCCCTTCTCTCTACCTGAGCATCTTTTTTTCCACTTTGTTTCCATCAGTGGAAGTGCCCTTTGAAGAGAAAACACTTCCTGGTCCTCAGGAGATGCTTGAAAATTGAATTAGAGCCTCCATTCCTTTGTGACTTGCAGTTGGGGAGTCACCATCTGAAGCATTTCCCATTTCTAGCAGGAACCAGCTGTGAAGCAAAATGACTAAAAGAGGTACATAAGAGGGGAGAGTCCAGAGAGAGACATTAATCACCACAAGACTCTCCTTTCTTGTTACACTCGTCAAGTAAGAAGAGGGCCAGTCAGTGGCAAAGGCAAGAGTTAACATGGGAGACGCAGCACTGTAGGCTGTGTGGTTAGAGCCTCGCTATTAGAGAAAGGGACATTTCTACAGGAGATCAGAACTTGGTGCCTCGGCCCATGAGTTTAAGGACGGCGAAGTTGTAGGTGGCAGCAATCATGAAGGTGAGCTGTAGGAAGAGAAGAGAAAATATGAGTGAGAGCTTTTGCAAATGAGGAAGGGTAGAAATAAAATCAGTGAAATAAAGGAAAAACCCCTGATCTGTAAAAAGCAGCATGTCCCAGGCTCTCACCCTACATGCCTGACTAGAAGTACTCTCTGAGACATTTCCTTCTAATGGCTCAGGCCCAGAGAATCAACTCAACGAGGGTTTATTCCACACCTATGCTAAGTCCTGGCACTGGGTTTTCCTCAGGAAAGTGAACAGTGCATTGGGCTCTGCCATCATCCCATCCACATGTCTGAGTGACCCGGAGTCACAGGCTGCTTGCTGCCGACACACAGTCACAAGGGACAGCACAACCCTCCCTGCTTCATGCATCAGTTTATTTTCCAGAATGAGGAACAACTCCAGTTTGCATAAAAACCTCAGCAGTAGGGGCCAGGAGTTCTGCGAGCTTATCCTTATCACTGCTTACTTAATGACTACAGATAAATTCCTTCACCCTTCAGTGCCCTAGGTTTTTCATCTGAACAATGAATGCACCCCACTGACACTGCACTGGAACACCATTGGCAGAACCTGGGGCATAGGATCACACTGTAGTAATAACAGTTCTAATAATGTCAGAAGGTCCTCCCAGGGTTTTCAGGAGAGTAAGTAAATCCCTTGGAGAGTGCCCAAGGTGGATTCGTATTGACAGCATATAGAATTCCAGGCTTTGGAAAATCATGTTTAGTAATGTTTCCTTGTTCTTTCACTCATCTGACCAGCATGGCACTATTACATGCTCTGTAAATGTTAAATATTATCATTTCTGACTATTAATCTCTTACCTTCTCTTTCCCCACACCACTATTCCTGTTCCTGTCTAATTTCTGAAGTTTCTCTACCTTGCCAACCCAAAGTAGAAGTTCACCGTCTACACTTTGTTGTCTCTTCCCAGGCGCTTGCTTCTCTCTGGCATCACAAGTTTAGCAGTCTATCTTTTTGCCTTTCAGCATAGCTGTACCCAAGCTATCCCGGGACCATTTATTTGCCAGGATCACATTCAGACAACTCACCAGGGAAACCAGTGTGGCAGCAGCCCCCACAAATGCAGCAATAAACAGATGGAAGGTCATTTGGAACTGCAAGAAAATGCAAAAGGGAGGAGAGTTTCTTGCCGCTGCAAAAATATGCTCTGCTGTACATCATGCATGCAGCTTCTTGTGTGTTAATTCTGCCTCTATAACTAAACTCACTTCCCTGAGTGTAGGCCTCCTGTTCTTTAATGTACGTCACAGCACCTAGCCCCAGAGCACTCAGAACACAAAGTATTCATAAAACACTCAAAAATATTTTAATCAACTGGTTCCCTACAGTTGTACCCAGAATCCCCAAATTTAAAGTCATGGTTTAAAGTTTGAACGTTTAAAGCTACTGCCTTCTTCTTCAGGATTTACTTTTATTCCCCTGCCTCATTTGTGGATGATATCCATTGCCGATACAGTGTTTTCCTCTTTCAAATGTACTTTTTGTTTTTACTTCTCATTAGAGACGGAGGGGTTCCAAACTGAAAGTGGTTTTGTAAAACCTATGAGTATGTCTCTATGCAGAAATCATTTTCTTGATAAGGTTTTTAACTAAAAGAATATTTTTTTTCACTTGGGGGCTTTTTCATTAATCTCTATCTTTACCTAAAACTACAAATCTCTCCTTTAAGGAAGGAAGTCTTGGAATGGAAGGCTTTCTATGCAGCTCTAAGGGAAATAGATGTTTTAACATCTATGCTCAAAATCCAGCAAAAACAAAACAAACAAACAAACAAAAAACCCTGTGGCTTTTAAAATTGAAGGCCATGGGTAGAAATTTGTATGGTACAAGCCATTCCGTTGTGAAAGAACTCAAATGGCCCACTCACCTCGGCTGTTTTGCAGATGGAAAGAAGGTTGGAGCCACACACCTTGCCAGGGAAAGCATTCCATGGGAGAACACCTGAGTAAGACACACAAGTCAACCAGGGTGAGCTTCATGGAGTTGTGGGGCTCCACGGAGATTTTCTTTCTGAGCCCTTCTTACATCTTTAATCATCCTGGCTGAAAAGTTGAATCCCACTAACAATCAGGATCCTCTTTTGTAAAGATTTGAAAAAAAAAAAAATGGAAGGTGGTACTGAACAGTTGTGTAATCTTGTGTTTGTTATTGAAATGTACTGCTTCTCAACCAGGCTAGAGCAGTGTTACCAGCCAAGAAAACTCCTACCACTTCCAAGAGAAGTTCCCTTCCAAGGGAAGAAATCTCTCCAATTTCAGTGGGGAGGGAATAACAAACTAAGATCCAGGCATCCATAACATTTTTCCCTATAATCACCACCCTTGTCATCCCAAGTAAAGAGCCAAATATATAGTGCTTTCATAGGGGGTAAGAGAGCCAAGGCACCAATACCCTAACTCACCATACATTCTGGCATCAGCACAGAGACTGCCTATACTGGCAGAAGTCTTGCTGGGGAAGGCAATAGACTGGCAGGTGGTCCAGGTGTTGAAGTAAATGTACACAGGCACAGCAGAGCAGGCAAACACCAGGAGCCACACAATGGTCAGGGCATAGGTGATGCCCACAAACTAAAACAATTGACATGGGGTGGTTAGAAATCAGCATCGGCCTGCAGACATTGAAGCACAAACTGGGAGATCCTGGAGTGGCATGTGCCAGATAGGAAACCAGATTCCAGGGATCTCCACCAAATGAAATTAGTAAGCAGGGCACCTCTGCCAAATGTCGTTGGCAGTATCTACTAGAGAACTGGCCCCAAGTGTGATGGAGGGTGGCGGGAATGGGTGGGGGTTGGAGTGAGGAGGATCCCTGGGTTAGAGAGGCTTCAGGAGATTTTTTGGGCAGATAAGGTGTAAAGAAATCAAAGCAGATCTTGAAAGAAAGTCGTGCCATTTCTCGCCTTAGGCTGAGCTTAGAAAATATTCCTCGTCATGAGACTTTTCATCCCTAGTCATTGAGCAAAGCCAATAGGAGGTTTAAATTTCAGATCCAAAAACCTTTCTAAGCCAACTGCTGGCCACAAAAGGTATCACCATAACCCACAGATATTCAACCCCCAAAAGATCTTACTTAACTCTAGAGACTGAAAACCAATGTGTGCTTCACTAGAAGCAGGGATAACCCTCAGACAAAGATGAAGCATTAAATATGTATATCCATGTTAGTTTCCTCTGGGACCTCCAACAGTGTAGAATCCCAGAATATTGGGAATTCCACCTTGGAGTAGAATTATTTAATTTCCATGATCCACCCTCCCTCTCAGATCAGGTACCTGCGTCTCAATCCCATGAGTAGCATTTAGGTTCTTAGGTGGTCAAATCTAATTTTATTATGGTCCCTGCTAAGAGGAGAGTAAAGGAATACCAACAGATGGCTTAGAAATGGTCCGATTTTATGAAGTATCCACAAAAGTCATGCTTTTTTTTTTTTTTTTGAGATGAAATTTTCTAGGGAATTTTTGAAAGGTGAGGCTAAGCCAACTGGGCACCACGTTCTTCCTGACCTTCTCGTTCAGCTGTAGCCATCACTTCCTCACTCAAAAGCCAGGCCCCTAGAGAGGATCCAGCCTTGGGTGGGGATGAGGCCACAGACTCATGCCCAATTATCCCCCACCCCTTGTTATTGCCACAAAATCCTGAGGATGATCACCTTGTCGGGATGTCCTAGCCATTTTCCCAAACAATGACACACCCGCTCCAAAGAATGAGCTTGATGTTGGCCTCTGGAACCCCTCCCCTTCTGGCCCCCTGTTACCGTTGCGCTCAGGCCCTTGCCGCAGATGGTGGTCTTGTAGTCGCCAAAGATCTGCCTGACTGCGCCGGTGGTGTAGAAGCCCTCAGCCAGCAGGAGGGCCCCATAAAGGAAGAAGAAAGAGGCAGTTCCATAGATGACATACTGGAAGGCATGGATCCTGCATGAACAGATAAACAAAAGATATCAGGAAACCTTATTAACTGAGGAACCGGTTCCCTTCCTGCATAAGTAAGGTGGACACTTGAGTGAGCACCTAAACAAGGCTAGGAATTTTTTAGAGGAATCACTAGGTTCCTCCACCCCTTGCTTACCCTGTGACCTGAAGAACTGGGGCTCTATTCTCCTTGGCCTGGCCCTTCAGAGATGTTTCCTCAGAGGAGAAAGCAGAGAAGAGCTAGACTAGGAGGAAGAGGGATGAAGGAATAGGGGCCTAACGTGCTAGGAGCAGGAAAGTCTTAGTACGGAGCCTGAGCAGACTCAAACAGTATGTCAAACCAAGAGCAGCAGCCCCAGTCTGTCCAGTCATTGTGCCTTTCCTGAGTTCTCCATACCTATCACTGCAGAGGCTCCAACTCAGTCAATGTTAACTTTACGGGCAGAAGTTAGAACACGTGGGACAAAGCAAGTGCAGTGGGGGGTGAGAAGTGGGCTGGCAGGCAGACAGAACTCCCCTTTCTGAATTTGGCATTTCCCCCTCATTCAGGACCTCAGATGGGGCATAGTTGAAATCTGCAAACAGAGGGAAGACTCGGGAATCCTGTCTGGCTCTATGCTAAACCCCCTACTAATCACTAAGGAGCTAATGAGTTCTATATGTCTCCAGGGAGAGAGGGGAAAAAAAGAGGGGTTTGTGTATGATAACAGGTACTTACACATTGATGAGATACTCATAGTCCTGGTAGTTTTTGGAGAAATAGGTCTCAATGAGCTTTTCTGTGCCAGTGAGTGCTTCATGTCCACAGCCACAGAACAGTGCCACCCCAAAGAAACATAATCCAGTGGCCACCAGGGAAGCAAAGGGGGCCCCTACGAGACATCTTGCACAGCACTCTAACAAGCCTGGGAAGGAAGGAGGGAAAAAGTCAGGGATGTTCCATTAGTAGCTCATGCCACTCATACCTCTCTGCCAGACCAGTCAAGCCCTGCGCTCACATGCACAGATGGAGTAGTCACTCCAGAGTCCAAAAGCACAAGAGTCTCCAACTTTAGGCTTCTGGAATGTGAGATTGACCCAAAAACCATCACTTTGTTCCATTCTTGAAAATAAGTCCTTAATTTTAATTCCCAGAATGTATGGGTTTTTAAAATAATCTGTCATCAAAGTAGCAAGCTGGGGAGATTATGCGAGCATCCTCTCCTTTTTTATTCTGATTTGTTTCTTTCAGTCATTTATCAACTCTTATGGAGTACTTACTATATGACCAGCATTGTGCCAGGTGTTATGTGGGATGTGAAAACATAAAAGACATAGACTTCACCATATGGGAGTCTTTTGTTTACTGAGGAAGAATGAGCTAAGTAGACCTAATATTTTTAACTAACAATTTTAGGCAGCCTAGTAAGTGGTTACAGAAAGTAAATGCAACAAAAGTTCCACAAAGGGACGGGTGCAGGCTAGAGATGTTGGTATTGTCAGACAGGATTTGAGCTTTGGAGAACATTCCAGGTGGGGGAAACTTTGGAAATTGCATGCTTCTGGATATTCCTGAACATTGGGTGTATTTGTCGCATGGAATGCTTGCTTCTCTTTCATCTAGAATATTATGTGGAGAGCAGTCCAAAGGGAAGGAGGAAACTGGCAGAGAGCAGGAGACAGTAATGGGAGGGTGACTATTATTCACAGTAATACAAATGCAAGCTTGATGATTTTTGAACACTTTGCTTGGCTGATTTGTCCCCCTATATTGCAGCTTGGCCAATATCTGCACTCTCAGGCTTACACCAGAGTCCTGTCAAAACAGCTACAAAAAGACTCTATACAAAGTCAGCAAAGCATGAAACCTCTTTCTGGCATGACGAAAACACACCAGAGCCTGGAAACACAGGTGTCTCAAAGTGCTAAGAGTCCCTGAGATACCGAGACCTGTCACCCTAGGCCCCATGCCAGTGTTGCTGAGAAACAGGAAAGGCACACAAGAAGTCGTAGGCTCTAAGAATAGCTGTGCCCCAAGTACTAGCCCCATGCTGTAAGTGCCACATGGAGCAAAACTTAACAAATGTCAAGTAGATGGCAGACTAGATGAGGAAACCATGGTTCCCTTGGGCCACATGGCCAGATCCCAAATATATAAAGCATATACGTGTGTGGGGTGTGTGTGTGTGTGTGTGTGTGCGTGCACGCGTGCTGATTTTATACATCTATTCATATATCATATAATATATAAAGATATGATATATGAAATATTTTATATTATCATATGTATATATGAATTATATACACATATACAGCTGATGTACTGAGAAGCTGTTTTTGGAAAAACATGTTGGAACTCCTTATAAAAAGAAAGCAAATTGTACTAATTTCTAGGTTTGAATTTTTATCCAAATCTCACTTGTCTATGCCATGGTAGCAAGGACTAGGGGAGTCCTTTGCCCCAGCCTCTTAATACTAGTACAGTTTCTTTTTAGCCCTGTGTGATTAAACATCTGTGGATCTGCATGGCTGATGCAATGTGAACAGATTTTGAAGGACGAGATTATCTCTATGATGAGAAAGTTGAGGTAGAAGGATTTGTCTCTGTTCTCAGAGCCACAGAATGAGTGAGTTCTATTATCCATCATCCCCTAAAATGACAAGCCCTCCCTTGGTCCTCAAAGAGCATCTTCCTCAAAGATTCTGGTATGTGACACCAGAGATGAGGTTCAGAAGCCCAAGGCAAGCAGACTAAGTAGCTAATATTTGCAGCAAAACTGAATTTTCATCCTTTTCCAAGAACTGAAGAACTGCTGTCAGAAAATTTGGCCTCTATGAGAAGCAATCAATTTGTAGCTGTGTTGCTGTAGTGGAGGCAAAGTTTACTTAGTATGAACTTGGCAATAGTGCTTGGTAACAGTGCTTCATCAGAGCTGTGTGTGTGTGTGTGTGTGTGTGTGTTGTGTATACATGCATGTGTGCACCGTGTGTGTTGTGTATACATGCATGTATATACCAGAAAGAAAAACACAGCAGTTCAAATTGATCATTGTTCTCAGGAAACATTCCAGAAATTGATCTTCCTCTTTCTCAACAGGTTAAGATACTAGATGCATCCTGTAAGTTAAGAAAAAGAGCTTGGAAATAAACAGTGCTGCCATTTTCCTACTGTCTATCCAACTCTTCCCCACCCCCAAACTCTAGACTCTTCTAGTAAAGAAGGTCTCTGAAGCCTGAGGGTGGGGGGAGGAGAAGGTCAGTGACCTCTCTGTTCCCTCTCTCCCCAGCACAGGGTCAGGACTTGGACAGAGCCCTCCATAGCTCCCCTGGACAAAGAAGCCTTGTTTTTCCCTGAGATCCCAGGAGCCTCATTGGTATTCTGCAGGGGCCTGCAGGCCTGGGGGTGGGGAGGGGGTCAGACCCAGGGAACAATGGCAGAACTGTTTATTTAGCCCAGAGTAAGGACAGCCATCAAACCTAGCAAGTTACCGTCCTGTGCCACTCACTCACCCCAGCTTTTTCACCCTGGGAAGAGCTAAATAGCTCAGGTGTGATCAGGGATGAAGGAACTTGAACTCTTGCTAGCCAAACAGGGAAATCCGCTCTAAGCTTTAGCTGATGCCCCCTCCAGGGTTATAAAGATAAGAAAAAATCCTCTTTGGTGTATCTGATCCCTTGATCATCATCCAAATAACCAGAGAGTGTCAGATGTAGTGTCCTTACTGGGTGATAAAGGGCTAAGCCTTGGGAGCAACTCTGGATCATCCACCAATATGCTTTCTTTTTACATACATTTTTCCTCTATTTTCTTAGACCTCAAATAACTTCTGCTGCACTGCCACTCAAAGCAAGGGACAAGAAAGACAGGTTTTAATGAGTCTTTAACGTGGAGTTGGAAACAAATGGCCCCAGATAAATCACTCTGGAGCTCTATAGTTCAACGATATCAACATACACATTACATGTCCATCTCTTCACAGATGAAATGTCGTTCTGGGGACATCTAAGTTCAACAGAAGTGAAGAATCTCATCAGTCTGACCAAACAAAAAAATCAACTTTTAAATTTCAATTGGAAAAAACTCAGAACATGCCAAAAAAAACAAAAAATGTGTCTTCATCAAAGTAGTTGACAATCAAAACATTCTGAGAAAGGTCCATGGTGTTCACTTTGGTTTTTCACAGCCCAAGAAATGTCTTTGGGAATGTGTGAACAATAGCCTAAAGCCACAAGCTCTACATTTCAGCACCTTTCATGGTTGAAAGGGTACTGGTTTGATTCAGGAAGGCTGTGAGGGATTCTGAAGTCCTTTGGCTCTCTTAAGAGTCATGCTCACGTTTCCAGGCTAAGCACAGATTGTCACATGGTAGAGTTGGCATAAAAGAACTGCAATAATAATAATATTACCCAGTGCAATTCAATTGGATTAAACTGCCTGACTTTGATGAGAGGTCATAGAGAAAAATAATGACCCTTCCCAGTGTTTTCCTTTCATTTCTTTTGATGTGGATTCAGTACAATTATTAAGCATATTTGAAGTAAGCTGGGCACTATGAGAAACAAAAGGGAATTATAAAGGCCAGTCCCTTTCTTCAATGACCTTTCAGTCTTGCTAGGGAGAACAAACTTGTGTCTGTGAATCAAAGACCAAAGCTACCTATAACTTAGTGTTAAAATGTATATGATCAAGTCCTGTGAGCAAAATGTAAGCAAAGGTGTTGGCTAGATTTATCCACAAACTTCCAAAATGAGTCTAATCAATCTGTGCTAGAACTTCAAGCCCTTCTGACCAATAGTTTTCACAGGAATCTGACAAAGATCAACAGGACCATTGTTAATCTTATCCAGATCCATGTCCATCCAAGGGACGGTGTTGATCCTGATGCTGTCTCTTTAAGCAGGAGCCAAGAGCTCCCAAACCCTCCCTCCTTTCCCATGCCCTGGGCACGCCTCAAGGACCAGCTCCATGATGGAAATTCAGTGTGAATCTGGGAACTCATCAAAGGGAGGAGAGGAAGGGCTTTCAGTGAAAGAGATGGTAGAAAGAGACCAATTGTGCCTTGCACAATTCCTAGCCTGTCCCTTGAATCCAGCTGACAAAGGGAGAGATAGAAGAACCCTATACAATAGATCTAAACAACAGGCAAACTCATTGAATGAAAAACTGGCCCCATCTCCCTAAGTCTCTAATCTGCTCTACAGTCTTACCCTCCTCCCAGAACCCACCCCTTAACCTCACTCCATGAACAGAGGCCTCCTTGATTGGGGCCTATAGCAGTTGACAGGGCCAAGATGCTAGAGCAACCGTAACTGGTACTGGGGATGGATGGAGATCAGTGGGTGGGTTCTAGGAGTAAAACAACAATCATCAGGAGGTGCCAGAGACAAAGACTTTTGCTTCTGGCCTTATCCTGGTCAGACAAAGCCCTGACTATAATCTTGTCTTCCCTACATGAACTCAGCACTTATACTGCATTCAAGTGGTGGAAGGGGGCCCTACAACCACTGGGACATGGGAATCTAAGCCTAATGGATGGTCAAGTCATATGGATAAAGTTAAATAAAAAGGAAACTCAGCCTCTTGTTTGGACAGATATTATTATTACTATAGCAACAGCATTTGGACCAATTTATTTCCTATACTCCCTACTCCTCCCCAAACACACACATCACACACACACACACACACACACAAACACACGCCAATATATGCCCAAACATTGGGAGGTTGGAATAGAAGCTTGATTATTAAACTCTATTCCTGACACATTGTCTTCATCTTGCCCATGTATGTGGAGGTAAAAGAGAAGCACCTGATAATAAGCTAAGAGACAACATTTTCTATACCTTATTCCTTAGGTCAGTCTCTCACCGTTTCCTCCTCTCTCCTTGGTTGCAGTGTGAAGCTGATCTGGGGAGCTTTGTTCTCTTCCTTGGGATGTCACTGATTCTTTTCCAGAGCCCTGCCTAGCAGAGAGCTCAGAGGCAAGTACAGAGCAGTAAGATCACCTTTACAACCATTTTTAAATAGCCAAGGAGGAAGTAATCAATCAGTACTCATAGGGTTTTTGAGGTAAGTTTGGAACTGGGTAGGCCCTAACAGTGGGAAAGAAAGGGAAACCTGCTGTTTGCCTTCCAGGTTGATGTGACCTTACCTGATCATGTCACTGCCCTGACTCAATCTTCTCTGGATCTGAAGTTCTGTAGGCAAGGAGGGCATTTCTACATTGCTTTCTTTCAAGACCAAGAACTATACCCTGGGGATGGTTTTCAGGGCTTCAAGATAATACACAAAAAGGCAATGAGGGAAAAAGATGCCACTAGCTGGGTGCCAGTGCCTTGATGGGTTTAAACACTCTATGTCCCCTCCCACCCATCTCCCAGGGGTTCTTAGGCCTTACTACTACTCATATAGCTTTGAGAGGATAGTTCCAGTTGTCAGGCTCTTGACTAAACTTCCAGCTTTCATAGCGCAGAGCCAGGGCAAAAGCCCCTCCAAGCAGAGCAAGCCTTTCAGTTTGCTTGGCTCTTCAAGAGCTCCTCTGGCTCTGCAGGGCCAAGGTGAGGAATGGGGTGGGGAAGGCTGTCGTGATCTTTTTAGTCACTGTCTCTAGGAGGAGTAAATGAGTATGCTGGTTTGGATCTGGTTTCTTTTTAGCTCTTGGCATTCTTGTGGCATTCTTGCCATCCTGGTGGGATGCAGTTAGTCTTCAGGAATTTTGTAAAACTGGACCCCTGCTTTGTATCCACACTTCTTTCTTGCCTGGGCTACCCTCACTTAGCCTGCACCAGCCAACACTACCCTCCTCGGCAAACAGCCACCTTGGGAGGGAAGCATCACAGTGTAGTTACCAGGGTAACAGCCACTGTTCTCAGACAACAGGCTTGCAGGAGCCAATGTTTTGCTGTTCAGTAATGGCATTGTGTTACTGAGCAGAGAATAATCAGCTACTGCTCTTTAGCTCTTTTCCGGTTCCATTGTTATCCCAAAGACTCATTTAGAACATACCCTTCCCAAGTCAGGACAAACTTTAATGAACTATCATTTCCCCCATAAACCTTTTATATAGATAATACTGAATTCAGTGTTCCTCTCTGCTTCCCATCCTGTAAGATTGTATGTGGTTGAGGTAGTGAGCTCTATGTTTCTGGGGGTGATTAAACAAAGGCGATAGGAACATTTAATTAGCTGTTGTAGAAGGGAATCCTGCCTTGAGAGTTGGCTCGGGCAGCTTCTAAAGTTCCTTCCAATCCCAGATTCCATGATATAATTTGTCTACTACAATTGTTGAACAGCAACACACTCCATGTCAGAAGTAGTAGCAGTACAGTACCTTGTTAGAGATGGTCTATTATTCACAAAGGACTTGAGATACTTTGTTATTGAATAATCGAAAACTCAGTGGCTACACTCATGTGCACCTGGCCCAAGGATTGCCCACCCCCAAGATCTGGGATCCAATACACAACCTCAACTGTGCCCTTATCTGTGGCAATCTCCCCTGGAGATTCCCCTGGAGGAAATCATCCAGCCTCGTAACAGGAAACTGTCCCTGTGGTCACCTCATTTGTTCCTGCCTTTTCCCCAAGGCTTTCATCCCCTGAGGAAGTAATAGTTCACATCGTTCTTTACTCCCTCTCCATTTTTTAATTCACAACCTACCCAATCAGCTGCCTTGACATTACATAGGGTTCCTGATGTTACCGAGGGTAGGAACTGAGTTCCCCTAACATTCACCTCTCACCTGGCTAAACTCAGTTGGTAAAATGATTCTTACCCAAGTGCACAAAGTATACACAAAGAAAGCCCAAACCACTTTGGAAAGAGTAAGAGTCAGCTTATACACGTGTTATTGCATAATAATTGGTATGATCATTATTTATAATTGTTATAGAGCTTGCCCGTTTTCAAAGGACATCCACATCATTATTACTTGATTTTCACAACCCTGAAAGTAGACAAAGCAGTTATTGTTATCCCCATTTTCCAGAAGATGAAGTGATAATTCACAGTGATCTACCCAAGGTCATGAAGTTCGTAAGTGGCAGATCTGGGATTCGAACCTGGTTGTGTTGGCTCTAGTCCAGTGCCCTGCCCTCTTAGTTATCCATGTTGAATACATGCTTCAAAGATCTCTCTCAGGATGAAACAACCTAAAGGCTGACACCAGCTTAATATAATCGAAAGCCTTTTTCCATGGATGTTGCTGGAGTCTTCTGGGTACTACATTTGATGGTGAATACAGAGGACAATTGATTCTCGTTTCATTTAGGATACATTCAAGCTGCTACTCTTTTGCCAAATGTGAACGATGTCTGCACATCTCTGTGGCATCCTGTGTGGACAAAGACCCTTGTGCTCTGTACTCTAAGTAGACACTACCAAAGACCAGATCTTATAGCTTCTCTCTTTGTTCATAGAACCTGGAGAAGCCTTCAGTACTCAACCAAGTCAGTAAGAGTCTTAAGGTCCCAGCAGCTTCCCTGTCATAGGAGGGATTTAGAGTCTGAATCATGCCCTCAGAAAGGCTGAGTCTGTGATATTTGCTAGATATGGTCACCCATATATGTGTGCCTGCATGCACATGCGCACACACACACACACCTGCTACCCATATCCACTCCCCATGGTAAAGCCACTGAGGACTTTATTTTCATTCCCTGAACCTGAGATTGGCCCTCTCAGCCATAGCCAAGCCTGAGTTCCAACTTGCCCAATTTCCCAATTTCCTTCTGATGCCAAACAGAGTCCAAATTTTGTATCAGCAAGCAGTTATTTTATACATCTGAGGGCTAGCCAACACTCATTTGTCTCCAGAAGAACCAGGGATGTCAGCTGACCCAGCCCCTACCAGGGCCTGAGAACAGGGGAAAAGAGAAGGTAGAGGGAAGTGAGGGGGTAAGAGAACACATGACCATATCCAACCCTCTGGGCACTCTCTCCAAGGACCTGTGGTACTCTCCACGTGCTGCTGGAGTTCTTTGGTAATAAAACAACATTCTCAGTACAGCAGAGAAGGAGTTAACTTAATTGAGTGCTAAGGAATTCAACAAAACAAGTGCCAAAACACAACTCATTGAAACCATTGGAAACCCCGAAACCCTCCAGTTGGAAATTCTCTTGCAAATTTCTGTACCTGCTTGAATCTTCCATGCTAAAGTTTTTGAAACTCACCCATATCTTTGGAACTCTGACTCCAATTGTAGCCGGCTGGCTAGTCTGCTTTGCGGCTGACTTTGTTCAGCTGGAAGGATCCTGGTCTCTCCAGTCTCCTTCTTCGGTCCTTTACTTTTTCTCTCTGAGTATCTTTGTCCTCTTCTCCTGCAATGAAAAGGGCTTTCTGATTGACAGCCAACCCCCTTAAAGAGACAGGCCCGCTTTCCTCCTCCTCTCCTCCTCCCCTTCTCCTCCCCTTGTCCCCACCTCCTTAGGGATACTCCCTTCTCTAAGGGCTCCATCTTCTCTTTCTGCTTTTCACTGCCAATTGTTTCATTTTCTGTTTTTCTGTTTTTCTCTAAGCCTTGCCTGTGTGGAATTTCACTTTGCTGCAGAGACATCTGGAAATGTGGTTTGGGGTAGAAATAAAAAGATGAAGTTCTAGAAGCCTCCAACTGATGCTTGGGTCTATTTAATGTGGGATGTGGCCGCACAAGTGTCAGAAGCCATGGAAACTGTAGCCCTGGCCAGGTGGTCAAGGTCAGAAACCTAGATGTTATCCCCAGGGTCCTTCCAACTCTGTCCCAACCCCACCCCTCACTCCTAGCTGCTCTTTGCCCTGTCCACCTTTCCCCTTCCCCCCACTCCTTGGGAAATAAGCATCCCTCCCCCTACCCAGCTCTAGAATCACAATAGAGAAGAAAAATAATTCCTTCCAAATCCTTCTTGGTTTCAACCGAATGAGGACAAAACACAAGCTGTTGATTCCACAAACAGATTTTGACTAAGCTAGGGGAGGCTACAATTGTAAAAATTTTATAGATAAGATAACAGAGACCCAGAGAGGGGACAAGACCAATGCATGTTCACAGAATAAGGCAAAGAGAAGGTCAGAGTTAGGGATGTTGGTGATTTCCAAGGACCGTTATTGACTTCAAGACAAATCACTAACAGGATCTGGGAATCAGGTAGTCAATATCCCATCCTGAGACTGTAGTGTCATCAAAGAGCTAAGGCCAGGCTGGTGAGAGGCAGGGAGCAGGTTGGGGTAAAGCAGTGGCTGCCAGTAAAGGTGGAGAGAAGGGGAAAGGAAATATAGTCCTTGCCTCAGAGAAAAAAAAAAACACTAAGAAAAAATGGCCAAATAACAAAAACAGGGGAAATATATGAAATCTGCCTTACCAATGACAGTTGTTTTTTTTTTTTAAGATTTTATTTATTTATTCATGAGAGACAGAGAGAGAGAAGCAGAGAGAGAAACAGGCTCCCAAAGAGCAGGGAGCCCGATGCGGGACTCGATCCCAGGACCCTGGGATCATGACCTGAGCCGAAGGCAGACGCTTAACCATCTGAGCCACCCAGGCACCCAAATGACAGTTGTTTCTAAAGACTGTGAAGGTATTTGAGTACCTAATGTTAGGTGGAATTAGCCTGGGAAGGTTTTCTAGAAGAGGTGAATCTTAACCACTGTCTATCTAGGCTCCTTGTTAGTGTTCTCTTTCCCTTCAGGGGCCTCAGAGAGACACTGCTCTCTTGACCTTGAGGGCCATATTCTCCCATGGGTGGCCTCTGAGGAAACTGGTTGGCATATAACTTAAGGAGTACTTGTTGGAAGACTCCAGAAAAAGAAGGTATGACCCCCACCCCACCACCACCACCAAGTTTTTCCTATGGCTTTGCTTTGGGGACAGAGAGGAGAAGAGGAGGTACTGAACAGAGTCTCGAATCTTCCTGTGGTGGAGAGTGACAAGGTTGTGTCTTACAGTGTTCTCTTCGGGCTGTGACCTTGGACATGTTTCTGGCTTGGGCTCTGCCATTAGGAAATGGTTGAGTCTTCTACAGATGTCCCTGTGGCTTCACCCAGGTCCTGAATCCTGCAGTATTTGAGGTTTGTCCAGGGTCCTAGAACTCTAGATCCTTTGCTCTTATACCAACCCCAAGGAAAAAGGATCCCTGGAAATGCTGCCCCTTTTGCAGAACTGCATAGTGGTAGTTTTACAGAGTAGACTAGAATAAGACCATATGACTGATGGTAGAAAGTCCCAGGACCCCTGACCTCGCTAGCCCGGCTCTCCAGCCATAGACTCTGCCTATGAAGGAAGCTGGGTTTTAGGATTTTGCCGACAATTAACTTCTGGATGATCATTGTCAGAATGGCCCTGGAGGAGAGGGAGGATCAAAAGCAAGAAGTCACCAAATGTGTGCCCTCAACTCCTCAGATGGCAGAGGGAATCCAGTCCAAACTTTGGGGGTTCTGATTTAGGGAATGAGAGAGATGGTGAGATGGTTTTTCATGGCTCAGATAGATGAGACAGCTCTGCATGCAGGGGAAATTGCTCAGTTCGGGCCACCTCACAAATCTGCTCCTGGATTCTCAGCAGCAGCCCTGTAACTGTTAAGCTACTTGGAAGAAAAGATGTGTTCCCAATAAACTCACAGGTACAAATTTTTCAACCACATTCCCCAAATACACATTTCTCTTCTCCTTTCCTTCATCTCTATCGCCTTACTATTCATTCTGTCTTCTCTCCAAGTCTCAGTCTTTTTGTCTCTGCTCTCTGTCTCTGTTTCTCTCTCTGTCTCTGTGTCCCTCTTTCTTTTTCTCTCTCCACACTCTTTGATGGATCATATCTTCCTGTCTCCACCTTTTTTTTAGGCCCTTGGATGGGAAAAGGGCTCAGCCAGGTAATGCTCACAGTCTCCAGTTGCTTAAGGTTCCAGCTCCCCAGGATCTAGTATGTTGTAGTCACTCTGTATGTCTTGACACTCTGCCTCAGCACCCACTCACCACCCATCTCTTGAGCCTTCCCCACAGGCTTCATAGGGGTTTCTTTCCAGGTCCTCAAGGGTTGGGTTTTTTTTTTTTAATCTACCCACCCTCACCTATTTCTGCTGCAATTAATTCTACTTCTAATGGTTCTGCTGGGCGCCCTTGGCAAATGTTTTCCAGAATCCAGCTGGGTCCCTGGCAGTGCCCAAGGATTCCTCAAGAGGGCACTGCCAGCCTTCTTGGTGGCAGCTAGCTGTCTGCACTGAGTGCTTGTGGGAACAATGCAGGATTGTATGAAACTAGTAAACAGTTTGCTTCGTGAAATTCTGATGGTACCTCAGAGGATCTGGGCCCCCTCGATCTTAGCTTGCTTTGGTTGTGCAGCTTTCTTGCAAATAATTCCAAAATACTTTGATATTACTTCCACTCTCTGTGGTGTGATCCCATAGCACCAGATTCCTGAAGGCCACTGGGCAGGTGGGTTCTCTTTGGTACATGGTATAAATTGAATGCTGAAAAGCGTTCCAGTGAAAGCAAAGTCCAGTGAATTTCTCCCAGGAAACTAAGCAAAGGCTCAAGTGCCCAGTCTGGCAGTCCATATCTCCCACCATGTCCACAGAGAAGACTGTAAAGGGGAACAGAGAAGGCAGAGTTCCAGTGAAAATCTGGAGTCACCTGCTAGCATTTAGGCTTCTGGAGCTGAGGCTCTGCTTCTCTTCCCCAAGATAAAGTCCTCCCAGACCAAATTGAGGAAGGCCGGTGGTTGCTTCTTACAGCTTTTCTAGCCCTGGCACAGAAGTCTGGTTGGTTGGCAGGCAATATATTATGTCTTATGTACTTGTGACTAGAACTTTCCACACCCAACTTCATGCCGATTGGTTTGGCTATGCCTTTCTGGCCACCAGAACTGAGGGCTGAGGGCCAGAGATGTCACATACTTTGAGCTGGCATAGGGTGGTGGGGGAGGGTGCTCTTCTTCCCTTCCTGAAGATTCAGAGAGCAGTACAAAAATGAATGGGAGCAGGGGATGTGTCGGATGTGGATCGTGGAGATGCCCATGGCTTTGGGATAGCGTGAAAGGTAGCCTGGAAGCCAAAATAATCAGATGAATAAAGTTGGGAGTGCCTGGGGGGCATGCCAAATAGCTACTAGCAAATGGAGAAATCAATTGTCCACATAACCCACCTCCACCAACATGAAAACCCAGCCAGCTTTGGCACAGTGGTGCCTGCGAAGAGGCTGCATGTTTGATATGATCTCTCAGTGCAGCAAAAATACTACTACTATCCTTGACTGTCAAATACTCACCTAATTCCTGAGAACCAATGTTATTTGTTCCCTGTTACTGATGGGGTACAGAGACAGCTTTCTCCATGCCACTCAGCAAGTAAAAGACAGAGCTACCTCTAGTGAATGCCTCTTTCCTGACTCTCATTGCTTGGAAGTTGCCCAGAAGATTGTTCTGCTCCAAAAAAACTGTTCAGACAGCAAGTACAGCCAGGGGGAGGATGGACAGGCTTTAGGCTGCTGTGGCCCAAGTCTCCAACCTTCTGTACTTCTCAGACTAAGCCAGATGCCCATGTTAGAAATCCAGGCAGGGCAAGATGCTGGAGTTTGTAGATCAGTGGGATTCAAAATCAGCCAGTGGGGATTAGATGATACTAAGGACTTTGTTGGATTTGTTAGGTGTGATAATAGCATGGTGATTATGTTTTTTAAAAGTGTCTTTAGGGGAACCTGGGTGGCTCAGTCAGTTAAGCATCTACCTTCACTCAGGTCATGATCTCGGGGTCCTGGAATCGAGCCCCATGTTGGGCTCTCTCTTCAGCTGGGAGTCTGCCTCTCCCTCTCACTCTCCCTCTGTGTTTTCTCTCTCTCTCTCTCAAATGAATACATAAAATCTTTTTTTTTTTAAGGGTCTTTATCAGGGGCGCCTGAGTGGCTTAGTCGGTTGAGCGTCTGACTTTGGCTCAGGTCATGTTCTTAGGGTCCTGGGATGGAGCCTCACATCTGGCTCCCCGCTCAGTGAGGAGTCTGCTTCTCCCTCTGCCCCTTCCCTACTTGTGCTCTCTCTTTCTCTCTCTCTCTCAAATAAATAAATAATATATTTTTTAAAAGGGTCTTTATCAGAGATGCATAAGAATTATTTATAGGTGAAATGTCATGATGCCTGGGATCTTTCCTCCTACAGAAAATTGTAATGAAAAGGTTAGATGAAATAATATTGGCCAGGGGCACCTGGGTGGCTCAGTCGTTAAGTGGCTGCCTTCGGCTCAGGTCATGATCCCAGGGTCCTGGGATCGAGCCCCGCATCAGGCTCCCTGTTCGGCTGGAAGCCTGCTTCCCACTTTCCCACTCCCCCTGCTTGTGTTCCCTCTCTGGCTGTGTTTCTCTCTGTCAAATAAATA